GCACGAATGTTTCTGCTGCTTCTACTAAAGGGACAACAAGAAGTGTAATCTGTGACGCGCTTCCTTAACGATTCTGAGGAAAGCTCAACATGTGATCTAGAAAGAGGAGTAATTGGTAAACGGCGGCTGATTTGCACCAGAGGACCTGACAGCAGCACAGGTAATATTGCAGTGCAGCAGTAAGATAATCCATGGGGGAATCACAGGAAAGTGACTTCAGATGAACGGAATGTAGAGCGTGCAGTGATGCTGACTAACGTGTCAAGACGCAGATTTTCAAAGTGCAAAGAGAAGCCCTTTATCGGTAAAAGGCTCCTGGGGAAGACCCTCTTTTAGGGGAGAGTACGTCTGGCAGGATGAAGACGAGACCCACCTCTACAGGCCTCCAGTTGTTCTGTCAATACCTTCCTCATCTCCGACACCCACATGTTCTTCATGTCTGTGGAAGGGGCCTAAAAGCAGAGCAGGAGACTCATTTACCATTTTGCCACTGCCCAAGGCGACAGGCTGCTGCCACCCTGACGCCCACTTTCTCAAGGCAAACTATGCCACACGGTGGTCAAATATAGGAACTGCATACAAACAGAGCTATCCCCAAACTCCTAAGTTTCCTATTACCTATAATATTCTGTCCTTCAAAGCCAGATTATTATTAACTAAACAGTTACCAGTTACAGAAAAAAAGGATAATGAAGGTATTCAAACCATGAGAAAAAAATATTTTCATCTTCACAAACGCGACTCCAATAATTCACTCTGAATATTTAACACCTGAAGTGTAACCACCTAAGGAGACCACATTAGGGCCGTACAGTGAAATTAACCTCACGTAGTGCCAAGAAACCAGTGCCAGTGACCATACCAGTGGGCATACGGCTTCTTTTGCAGAAGCTGACAGAAGTGGTGAATCATTTATGGTGGAACAGGGAAAGAACTAAGCTACACAGGGCTCTGGCCCCCCAGGACTGGAGTTGGGCACCCCTGCACTAAATCAATAAAAAACATATATATCTGACATTCAAACACAGAAATATGAACACATTTTAAATGAAGTTGGCTCTCATAATGCATGCTTATTTTAGGCACAACAGCACGATTATTTTTGGCACAAGTTTGTGAGTGTGTGACTGCTGCTGAGACACTCTGACTAACCTTACCTGGATGATGTACACTTCCTCTCTTCCATTGCACCAGACCTCGAACTTTCTGCTATCACCCTTCACGTTTTCTGTTATTCCAACCTCACTCATCTGAAAACACAGCGGGTAAACCTGTAGCAGTAGCCACGGTACAAATATTTCCGTAGTCTTGCTTCCAATTAAGCTTGTATTTGAGAGAAAAAAAATAACTACGATTTTCATCTTGCACAGTTGAGGCAAACCACTGAGCGATGCACAAGTGGAGTCTGGTTCTCTACATTACTGTGCCATAATATGTGGCTCCAGTTCATTGACAATAATTACTTTATAATAAATATTATTATAATAAATACTTTATTAATTTCTTTTAGTCGTCCTGTTTGTTTTAATGTTCTTACTGCATTGAAATGTATTTGCATCCCTTTTGTTCCGTTACACCTTTATTTCTTTTATTGTACTCTAATCTGTTTCTCCCTTTTAGCTTATTTCACCTTTTACTCTGATAACTGTTTTGTCCTTTATCAGTTTACATGACCTTTTCGCAATGTTACCCACACCCGTTTATTTTGAATGTCTGTTCCATTTTCCTTCTTGACTTTTATCGTACATTGAAAGCACCTGGAGCTGCATTTCATGCATAAAAGGTGCTATATAAAATAACAATAACAATAACAATAATAAATTATTTCTTAATAATGAGAGTGGCCAGCAGGGGGGGCTCACAGCACCTTTAGGGAGTGCTTGAAGCTGTAGGACGGAGTGCGCTCGTGGTTGTCCGTGGAGTCCTCACGCCGCTTGCAGAAGAGCAGCATGGAGCTGTAAAGGAAGAGGTGTCTCTGCCTGGGCTTGAAGCGTGCCAGGTCCTTCACCTTGCTGTGTCCCTTCTTGTGCTCCGTCCACACGCTGAACGAGCCCTGCATCAGCAGCTTGCCCAGGTTGTTTAGGTTCCCCTAGAGTAGCACATACAATACTTCATACACTCTTGAGAAATACTCAACACCAATAATTCACACAAATACCACTCATTCACAACTAGACACACTTCCTCAAACAAATGCTCGTTCACTCACCGAAAAGCCTGTGATGGCTATCTGGTGCATAGAGTCGTTGACAGACTTGATGATATCTAGCATGGTTGCTAGAGCTTCCTGTAGCTGGGCAGTGTCTTCAGAGTTTGTGCTGCATTTGAGCATCTCCTGAGAATGCGATGATGCGACCAGGGTTAGGCCTCAAGTCTCCTTGTCCTTCTACATTTACAGCTTGACCTCCTGGGGCTTACAGAAATCAGAAACTGCTTGAGAATATATGAAACAGACCTAACTGGTTTTGAACTCCAATCCTGGGGACCCACTGTTATTGGCTGATTGGGAGGTCATCCCAAAAACCTGCCCCCACACCGGCCCTCCAAGGATCAGGTTAGCCACCCTTGGTCTAACTCCCACTCCACCACCAATTTTTGCAACAACACAGCGGTCCACAAAGATCACAGGAAACTCAGGATGGTCATCCGCCCGATTTCCAGTTACTTATCCAGTAAAATGTGTGTAATAACCCTAAAATTGTAGAGTTTCTGCGGTCTATCCCAGGAGGCTGGAGGAGGAGCCTGATGAGCTGGCAGTCCGTCACAGGGTGCGCATACGCTCACATACTGTGGGTCACATACTGCCCCGTAAACCACCACGCCTCCTCATGATTAGTGTAACAAACCTTAAACCATTGAATAATGCTCATGCCAGACGCCCTCCCCCCGACTACCTTATAGGGCACTGCGTAAACGACTCAAAACTCGACAGTGAATTTATTAAATGGAATCCAAAGTGGGGGAAATTTACTAATGCTGTGGGCAATGGTGCCATGTATATAACAGGCCATAATAAACACACAAAAGTACAAAAATTCTAATTAGTTGAATATGTACAATTTAAAACAAAAACTAAGGGTGGCAAAAGAACATTCTTAATTACAGAATTGTTATTTTATTAAGATGGGAATAAGACGAATCGACAGTAAACAGCCAGTTAAATCAGAGTAAACAAAGCTCTCTGCGTTTGTCAACTTGCCTTCAGCATCAGCTGATACTTGGTGATCCTCTGCACTGGCTTCAGCAAGTATGCGTCCAGCGAAAGTTTGTGATCCAGCTTTTTCTGGCATTCCTTTAACAATAGAATATGAAGTCTGTGCAAAGGACCAGAACATATCTACAACCAGATTTTCCTATCTTGGTGGTTCACATTCAAAATGACCAGTTACCTGTAACTAAGTGTAAGGTGAACGCATCTGTCCTCTGAAACGGTTTGCATGTACAAATTGATATGTTTCTGCATGAATCATTTGCGACACCAAAAAAAAAAAAAAAAAAAAAACACTCGGTGCATGGATATAGGCAAAAAATATGTAAATCCCTATCTGACCATTTACATTTGTGCTGCATGGCCAGGAGTCGGGTACATGTCCAATCCAGTGCCACATATGAAATTAACTCAAATCTGATTCGAAAACATCAGATTTGCTCAGCCTATAAGAGAAAAGGCCTCAGACTAAACTAATGAGCACTGTCAACAACCAGTAGTGCTATCATTTTTGCAACTCTTAGTAGAAGTGTCGCTTGTAACATCATTAGTACCCTAGATAAGCCACCTGGAAGAAAGAAGATTCCACACACTGTCGCCAAAGAGCTTCAGATCGTGGCTTGTTCTGACAATACTTCTCATACATCTGCAGGTCTTCTTTCTAAATCATAAAAAAATCACAACAGAGTTTTTACATTCTGTCCCCACCGGTTCAGGTAAGAGTCAGTGGAACTTAATAATACTTGATATTTACATACCCTTTTCAAAAAGCATGCCCCAACTAACTCTGGATTCTCAATGCAATTTTCCAACTCTTTCCGAAATGTTCTAGAAGTGAAAAGGATCAAATCATGTCTTTATAAACAGGAAGAACCATACTGAATAGGTAGCATTAAAATGAAAAACAACAACCAAGACGACCAAATCAACAAAATGAAGAAATATTCTGGATGTTCACAACGGTATGTTTTATACCAGTGCTTCTCTACCTTTTTTGCACTGTGACCCAATTTTTTCCATGCCAGCTCACTCGTGACCCTATTTAAATTAAGGCTATGATCTAGCACAGTGTGCACTCTGTAATCTGCGCCAATCGATGCCTATCACGCAAATTTGACTGGATGGGCCAGTGAATCAGTGGTTTGACTTGTTGGATTTGTTGAGTGTTCAATAGTTTTGCGTTAAGCATTTGCAGACCCAAGACCAGTTTATATAGGTTAATTCGAGGACTGGGGCTGGGAAATCTGATCGTGGATCAGCATAGGAGTTTGCTGGTAAAATGTTTACATTTCCAACTGTGCCTCACAGCCCTTTCAGAACTTAACATGACACAAATTTGGGTCACAACCCATAGGTTGAAAAATCACCATTTTATACCCTCTTGAAAAAGGTTGTATATTACATAAAAGCAAAACAGTGCATTAGTGCAATCATAGCATTATGTCAGGCAGTGAGAATCCCCCCCCCCCAACTGTAATATAAACCTGGGTTTGTGGGCCATGTATGTATGCCAGGACTTCTGAATGATCGCCAAGGAGTTTTACCATTCTTAGAGAGCATCAAAACCGAGAGGAAATTAACCTACTTAAGCAGCAGAATGTTCTGCACTTTCCCATAAGTGTCCTATTTGTATTCACTGTACTTGCTCTTTTCCCAAAAGTGTCCTCCTTTTGTTAACCTTCATTGTTGCACTTGCACGATCATAAAAAATGCAAGTTGTTTCAAAATATTATTCAATGTCTGTGCATCCATCACTCTGGATATTGCTCAATTTATAATTCTCATAAAAGAGAAGTGACAGCGATCGCTACAGACTATAATACGGATAGTATGACACTTGTCGGTGAAACATGACTGAAAATGCACGACGCCAGTCGCTTCATCGTTATTAATTCCGTGCTCCGTCGCGCGACGAAATTGAAAGCGCTTCCTCCACCGGGAAAGTCGGAAAAACACGAGGGATGCTGCGCGCGATACGCGGCCGGTTGCCTTGGAGATCCCCACCGTTTTCACTTCGTGTTACTCCTAGTCTCGGGTACAACTAAAAAAGAAGGCTTTTATGTGTTTGTATTGGTTTCTGAGAGCCAATTATGGTGTCGTTTTAACCCCATAAGTGTAGAGGGACGGAAAAGAAAGCACCTTACCGACTGCCTGAATTCTGTATTACTATTATTTCCCACGAAAACGGCGGATACCAGTTCCGAGTCTCCACTCGGCGACAGCGGACAAATGGGAAATTTCGATATACAGCCAGTTAAGTGCCACTGAGAGTAAAAAGAAGAGGCTCTCTTCAGCACGATCTTCATATAGGTCAGTAATTTTAATCTCTCTTTTGTGTGCGTGCTGTCTTCCCAGTACATTTAAATATGGATTCCAGAGTACTTTTTTATTAACAGTCTTAAGAGCATAAAGCGAAATGAGCGGCCAAATGTTCACGTAAATGTAGAAAACTGGCCAAAGTTATGATTTAATGTTTTGCAATAGGTGCCTCAAGTATGCTACAGCCAGTCGTAAGGATAAACGGTATAAAGATGAATTTCGGTAGCATCGACTGATCGTTGTGAAGATTTTTCTTAGCCTCCATGTTGCACGTGAACCATCTTGCGTACATTTTCCTAAGAATGATCTGGGTGTGATGTCTCACTCCAAAACAACGAGATGCTGTACAAAATTAAATGGGATAAAATGGGTTGCTTTCACCATATCGTGAGATGTTGTGAAAAAATAATTACCTTTCTTACCTGTTGTGGAAGTCATAGATTTCAGAGAGATTGCCAAAAAGCACATCCTGGTTGTTTTCCAACACTGGTGGTATCGGATGAGATAAGTCAGCTTTTCCAAGTTTGGCAACATAACCCTAGAACAAGGCATCATATACCACACTAAATATATGAAACTGGAAATGGATTGCTACTCAAATGCTTACTGTTGTACAGAATATCAGTTTACATATTTATAAAACGCACCGAGATTAATATTTATATATTCTCTGGACATGCATCAGGAACACCTCAGGTAACCTTGCCTAATAGCCTGAGTTGCCAACACATTCAATCTGCCAGACAGGTGTGCATAATTTGATCTGCTCAACCTGCACCCCCCCCCCCCCCCCCCAAGCACCGCATGGAAAAAGAAATACAAATTTACTGACTGCAGCTATCTTGATACCTACTACTTGCACTCATGCATAAATGCCACCCACTGTTGGGTCATAAACAATGGCCTAAGATTTCACAGTGTAGATAACCGTCCGTGTAACTACCCGTTTCCGTATTAATGACCAACATCCTGGGTAATGACTATCTTCAGCCCTTACTTGTAGGAGACCTGGTTTATACTACAAACATACCTCCATGATACTTTGCAACTCCTCAACATACAGCCGTTCCGTTTCAATCAGTTCATTCATGATGTGTCTGTGGAGGGTTAGGGGTGGACACACAACTCATCAGCAGAGCAAAGGGAACTTGGCACCATTTGTTCAAAATACAAAATCATATTTAAAAAATAAAAATAAAAATTGGCATTGATGATCGAGGAAAAAACCTCCAACAGAAGAAAGGATGGATTAAGTAGGAGCTGTTATATATGCTAATGTGCAAACACTGATGTCTACATCTATATAGGCTGTTGCTCAAAAAAAGTCTGAATGAAATGTTGCTTTTATGAGCTAAGCAGTGCATTCAGGTTGTGAAATATTACTTTTAAAACAGGTTTGGTTGTTAGCGAGAATCATTTAAGATGGAGGAATATGCAGTTTGACGGTTTCCAGGATATTATCCAATCCTTACTCAGGTTAACACATAACGTAGGATTTCTCAGCTGATAAAAATGACAGCCACTGTAAAATACCTGCTACTGCATATTTTATCTGTGCAATTAAGAAACTTTGCAAAAAAAAAAAAAAAAACCTGCAACCTGTAAGAATAAAAACAAACAAAAAAAAACCTTTGGAACAAAAACCTGGCAGCTGTGGGGTCCCAGTGATGCAACAGACATCAAAATTTAGTGCACAATATGCCCCCCCCCCACTACAGATTTTAAAATCACTAATGGGCAGATATAGAGGATCCGCCAGTCAGACCGTGGCTGGTGTGACTCAGCCTGGAAACGTAACAGCAGCTCTCACTCAGCTCTTACTGTAGGTGGCTCCTTCACACCCACATAAGGACAGCGCTGTCTCACTTTCAGAGTTGCACGGCAGCGACTGGCTGCTACTCACAACGGTGATTTCACTTTGTCAGAGAGAAATCCTAAACTGTCCATCGGCCATACTCTGCTCCAGTCGCGCTGCGTTTCTCTAAACACATGGATTTACGACGGCCTTCCCTGTGCTGGTAAGTACCATCGTTCGTCCGGGAGAAAATTTCCATCCATCTCCTCTCCTTTCTAACCTTGTTTGAAATTAACTCCGTATCAAAGCAGAGTTCAGGGAAATGCAGTAAGAACTTTATGCTTCCAAAGGCGCAAGAAACTGCTTTTTGAAAATGATTTACAGCACTAACATTGGTGTGTTAGCTTCACAATTTCTGTATGGCTTATGAAAACAGTAAAAATTAAATAGATATGTCAGAGGCAATACCCTTTCTGAAACCAGTTCTGCATTGCCAGTGTTAAAAGAGGAATGCACATTCCATGACTGTTGTCTTTCGGCGTAAGTAAAACTAGTCTTTCACAGGCCTTATGTTTTGTGTAAAAGTGTCAGTTCAACTTCTGCTTAAATTAACAAAGGCCTTTTCAGGTTAAAACCCTTATTTGGTTTTGAAATGAAGACTTTATGCCATGACTGTTTTACAACTGGTGGAAAAAAGTCTTACCGAACTGCTATTACTGTGTAAATTAAAACCATATATTAATGGGGTGATTGGCGTGATTAATATTTATACTTATCCACTCAAGAACAGTGTATTGTGCCATATAAAACTCAAACATATTAAAATATCAGCAAGGAACCTTTTTTTTTTTTTAACTTGTGCCGCGTTTCAAAGCATTTCCTGTTTAACGTATATCTGCTCAAAGATATAGACAAATTATTGCTGATGTATTTAAAAATAAATAAATAAATAAAAATCACCCATCTTCCACAAACCCTTGTCCAGTAGAGGTCATGATGGTAAAAACAATTATGCATAAAATTAAAAATAATATGCGTAGAATGTCATTTTATGCAATTGAGGACTGTCCTTAAAAGGAAAAACAATACGTATAAAAATATACGCTTCTCCATTTGGAATGTGACGGAATTGGGAAAGTTACGTCAAAGTAAAATTATATATTACCTTCAGCACACATAGCTATGCTTTGGTTACGTTCGCACTACGTCCACGTTTTTACGGGAGTCCGTGCTACAGTTATCTCCGACGTTGTAAAAAAAATAAATAAATAATAACTTCTGCGTTCACACTGCTCAGTGTAAAAGGCAAATGACGTAGCTATAAGACTGGATGTTAATGTATATATTTCTGAAATTTTTCATTTGCACATTTGACCAAAGCTTTTTATAATATATTTTTAGAATGGCGCACTTTATATTTCATTTGTTTGTTGTAACTCGAGCACAACGTGCACGAGTTTTTGTCCGTCCAAATTTTTTTAAATAATCATAGAAGTGGCGAAGTATATATTTTGAATCATTTTTTTCTTTGATTAGTAATAAAGTTTTTTTATAAACGCTTGACTGTTGATTAATCTCACGCACAACCATGTGTTTAAAGTGCACATATTTTAATTAGCGAAAGTGAAATATCAGAGTACTGTAGCTAGAGATGATCATGCAAAACCGCACGTGTAACGTAAACAAAGGAGAGGGCACCTGGATCTGTTAGATACATGGATAATCCTGGAATAAAGAAAATAACGACTTCACACCATCCAGTGCAAATCAACCGTGACGTTAGTATCCGAGACCAACGCGGACTCCAAGCAGACGGTCCGCAGAATCAGCTGGCCGCGCTGTTTCATCCACTTCACAGAGCTACATTGTCGTGCTAACTTTGCTAGTGAATGCCATTGTCAGTTTGTGAAAGATTTGCACCTCGCTCAGCTGTGATATGATCCGCGACCTAAACCCTCCATTATCACATCTTGCTTACAAAGAGCTGGCGCTGACTTTTATATTAAAGCTGAGCTGACGTGTGACCAAGGAGATTAACTGTAGTAGGGCAGGAGTGTAAAAAGTAAACAAAAAATATACATTACAACAGTAATAAGACTTGCTACTAGAAAGAAAGGAGAAAGCTTACTAAAATGTGCTGCTCAACTAATACTGGTCTATACTGGACTCAGATGTCTTTTCTAGCTCCTTATAGTTAATGAAGTGGACACAGGCCGTGGGGGGTGTACCATATTCCTCCAGCTATAATTATCTATTAATTCTAATGTGGCCCTGGAAGAGAGACTAAAAATTAATTGGAAAACCCACTAATTAGTCCCCCCCGCCCCACTAGTTTAGCATTTTAACTTGTTCAGGAGACCACCCTCGACCCCTAACATGGGCTGCTTTAGAAAAGTGTCGTGTGTGTGTGTGCACTTTTTGTTCAGTTACTTGAAATATATTCCAATGAGTCTGTTGTTTCAGCTTGGTCAGAGTATTCTGGATTTGACTTCTGAAATAGGCAGAATTTGACAAAAAGTCCCACTTTAACAAACATTTAACTGCCTTCAGAAACTCATTTTATGTGAAATGTATTTGTGCCTATAATCAAATTGATCTGATGATTTTTTACATCTGTATATTTTAAGGCGCAGTTTAAGATGATTTAATTTTGAAAAGCTAGTCACTGTGGTGACCTTATTGCCAATACACACTTGATGGCCACTTTCTTGGGCTCATTAATTCAAACAACCTGCCTCTATACAGCAAATCATATGGCTGCAATAGAATTCATACATGCAGACAGGATCCAGAGGTTCAGTTATAACTGATCTCATTCTCATTGCACAAACACCACAAAGGACATTCAGAGAACTACCATTATAAGGGAAACATGTGACTTCCTGACCACAATAACGACTGCGGCAAGGACCCCTAGGCCCATGTTTGAGATGATCTCCGTACCATCTCTGATTCTACATGTAGTTTTCTGCAACTACACTTCATTGGTTCTCAATTGATTCCCCTTTTTTTACCTCAGTTTTTTAATAAAAAACAGATAATGCTTTGAATAGCCTATTTTGATCATGCAATCTTATGTTGTTAAATCACTTTTTCTTTCAGATGAAGAAATAATTCAAGGTTTCTATAACAAAATAAGAAACTGGTAAACATGAGGACAGCAAGGCTTGACTCATTTCTGGGATCTAATGGCGGCTTACTTAGTCAGTAGACCTATTTTCATTCAGGCTCCCCTGACTCTGCATTAGTGTGGCAATAATAGAGTGAAACTCGAAAAACAAAAACATCTGAATTACTGCAAGAACATTCAACAGAATACACAATATCTGCCTTGACAGAGGAGGAGGATCTGGAGGTCAGCTGGACTGCAGAATGTTCATCTATTTCAGAAGGATCAGAAAACTTAAATGTGTGCAGCTGACAGCGACGTGCTTCGTCTTCTCCGTTGTAATGCTGTATTGGGATCAGCTGGACAACAACGTTGTGAGCCACATGAGGTCCTACTCATATCGCTACTTAGTCAACAGCTACAACTTTCTCAACAAGAGCTTCTCTGTGAGCCGGGAAGTGGCAGAGAGCTTCGCTAACCACCGTTACTTAATCAATCGCAGACATAAGTGCAGGGTTAAGGACTTGCTGCTGCTGCTCATGGTTAAGACTTCCCCAAAGAACACGGAGAGAAGGGCAGCCATCCGCTGTACTTGGGGAAATGAGACGTATGCACGCTCAGAACTCGGCGTGAATGTGAGGGTAGTGTTTGTCCTGGGTGTCCACCCCAAGGAATCTGATCGGGCCCAACAACAAAAACAGCTGGACCAGGAGGACAGAGAGTACGGGGACTTAATCCAGCAAGACTTTGTAGACACATTCCACAACCTCACCATCAAGCTACTCCTGCAGTTTCAATGGGCACACTCATATTGTAGCCATGCTCAGTTCCTTATGTCCGCCGATGACGATGTCTTCGTGCACATGCCCAACCTGGTCCACTATCTGCAAGAAATGGGCCGGAGAGACGTCCGGAACTTCTGGATTGGCCGTGTGCACCGCGGAGCCCCACCCATCCGCCGCAAGGATAGCAAGTACTATGTTCCCTATGAGATGTACCCCTGGTCCACTTATCCAGACTACACGGCAGGTGCTGGATATGTGGTGTCAGGGGACGTGGCTGCCAAAATATACCAGGCCTCGTTAACCCTCAACGCCACACTCCACATCGACGATGTATTTATGGGGATCCTCGCAAATGTGATGGGTGTCTCCCCACAGGAACACGCATACTTCTCAGGGGAGGGAAAAGCCCCATACCACCCTTGTGTATACCACAAGATGATGACCTCACATGGACATGTGAAAGATATCCATTACCTCTGGAAGATCTCCACAGATCCTCAGCTCCAAAAAGCTAACTATGGACTCTTAGACGACCTATATTGCCAGGTAGTAAAAATAACACTGTTCTGTAAACCATACTATTTTAACACCTACCCTTGCAAAGCAGCCTTCTTGTAATGTGTGAAGAGTATTGGTTAGTCGCATGCTTTTTTCAAATATCATAATATCAAAGAAGAAGGGGGGGGGGCTTCTGTATTTTCACTTCGCATTTATATGGACATATAGTTAAATAAAGTGTTTCTAGGAACCTAATCTGCCCCTCCATTAGCCATGGTTCAGGTTTGGAGCATCTTCAGTCAAAAAAAGTAAGAATAAGTCCTAGTGGGTCATGCAAAAGAAGAGTCTAAGGAGAATAGAACACAATCTAGACATACTGCCAGTCGTCGGATGATCATAATTTTATTTATCTTTCGATGTCATTAAATTAAACTGATTTAAAAGGTTCCTTGCTTCTTCTTGATTTGTTCCTATCTCCTGGTGCCAGAAAGCTTCAAAGCCACATACTGTTTTACTGTTTGCAAAATGTTTCTATCTAAACAAGCCTGAAAAAAACTGTATATTAAAGCTATTGCTATTAAATCTACTGTAATAAAGATGAATTTGTTTGCCAAAACAACAGCCCGCAAGTACAATGATCTAATCACTGCACACAGGTAATAGTGTGTACCCCGCACCTACGGAATCTCCCCTGTTTTTGGAAAGCAGGTCACAATTTCTGCACAATTGTTTTTGTGGGTCACTGTAGTATATTTTTGTACATGTACACACACACACACACACACACACACAACCATTTTTGACACAAAAACACAGATTTCTTAGATTCAGACATGCAGGAACGAAAACTCACTTGAAAACTTTTTTAGAAAAAAAAAGACTTTTCTTCTATTCTCAAAAAGTGTGTAGGCACATAATTACTACATAATATTACAACAAACTGAAATATGGGGGAAATGCTGTGAAACACTCATTCTTTATTGCTAATGATTGCCTAAGCTGGAACATTTGACACAGAGAATGCTGGAAAACATAGTACATTTTGTTTTAAAAAGTGTTAGTGTAAACAAAACATCATAGCCAACAGAATAACATTACACAAATTTTACCAAGCAAAAAGATGTCAGAAAGGAGCGTCAAGATTTAGGACATGAACTAAGGCTGCCTATTCAATACCCAAGGAGGATCCTACTGCTATAATTTTTTAAATTTGGAATAGCCAGATTAAAATATACAGCTTTGCAATTGAGTAAATTGTACTTGTCTTTGAATTAAAATACAGTAATGGACAGGAAAAGTCACTGTAAGATATACATGGAGAAATCTCCTACCTTCGTCTGTCGAATAAACTCTCCTCTGTATCGTTGGCCACCAAAATATGACTTAAACCCCCCTGGCTGGCTTCGTGCATAACTTCAATCTGAAGAGGGAAAAACAAATATAGGCAAAACAGAGGCCCTGTTTACACTTTGTTTTAAAGTGCATCTCAGACCTGGGCAAACAGGTTCCAAGATGCATTGTGATCCAACCACTCTGGGCCGCATGTGACCATGTATGTCTTACAGTGTAACTGCTAATCCATCCTGATGAGTCCATGACAATGACATCGCCACTGGTGTGTGAATGTCAGTGTGGATGGGTGAATGTGAGGCATGTATTGTAAAGCGCTTTGAGTACTCGTAGGAGTAGAAAAGCGCTATATAAATGCAGTCCATTTACCATTTTATTTTTACCATCACAATGACTGACAACCAAGCAGTCAGCTGGACACCTTGGAGATCAATGATAGATACTGGTGATATGCCACAGCTGTCTACTTAAGATCTGATCTCCCAACATGCATTTTAAAGCCAAGTGTAAACAGGGCTAGAGAGATGTTCTGTCTAACTGTTACACCTACTCAGCCACAGTGCTGCAGCATGGATTACTATCCCATCACAATGGAATCACGCACCATTCTACAAAAGCTGTAAAAATTCGGTTGAGTCGTGTTTCCGCGAAGGCATAATAATTCAGCTTAATTGAAATAACACACAAGTCCCCTCCAAGGATTCTGACAGTGTGGTTGAGGAGTTTACATACTTCAACGATCGACAGAGCCATGTCAAACAGACTATCAGCTACTTGGCAAACAAGTCTGCAGTGAGGCCAGGCAAACTACAATCCAAACAAACATCTACCATGAAAGGTAGCAAGTAGAATCAGAGCACCCTATGCAGAAATGGCTACAAGAACTCTTTGGTGCAACTGAGCTATGTTTATCCCTAATCCTAATAGTAGCCATAATCTCAAAGACTGACTCGATGTCTGGGATGAATCAAATTCTGCAGGCCCCTGTCCCTAAGGGGAAGCACCAAACTGTCTGTCAGTTGCTTGTTTACATACATACGTAACCCTTTCATTTTAAAAGAGGCCCGTATAACACAGGCAGATGGCAGAGTCATTGCTTAAAAAATCAGTTAAAAAAAGGTGCTCTCTCGTCTGTAGAGACACATTAGACTGGACACCCACTATATAGTCACTGCATAGTGGCCAGTTCACTGGATCCCAAGAAGGCTTCTGAGAGGTGGGGCATTATGCTGAGCCACTCAGAGTCAAATTAAAAAATAAAAGTTAAAAAATTGAACATGGAGACGCAATAACTCAAACAGTCTGCTGGTTTCGTTTGATTCACATAGCCCAATAAGGAAAAATAACTCGATGATGAATGACTGGATGAAGGTTCCGTGTCATTTTGGCCAAGACGGAAAGACTCAGGAGGAGTTTCTATCCCCAGGCGATTCGACTCCTCAACCAAGACATGCCACTCTCCCGGTCATAGAGTTATGGTTATCAGTTCAACCTTACACTGCTGTGCTGACACTGCACACTGCACTTTGTATGTAGTACCTGCATGTGACAAAAAAAGAATCTTGAATGAATCCTGAATGAACAGTGGAAACTAATCCCAGCACGTCCTTATTCTGGATCTAGTGAGGGAAGTTATCGAGCTGATGAAGAGGGTATTCAGATGAATGCTTGCTACTTAGCTGAAAGGTCAGGGCTACAGCAATGGCCATCACAGAGGTGAAAGCTTGTGCATAGGAGGAGTTTCTAAAGCCCGTGGTAGGAAACTGGGTGGCCCCATAAATGTTTTGGCAAACCAACCAACGCTTCAGGCTGGTAGGAGGAATACTTTGAGGAATCCAGGTCTGGCCGTGGAAGTGATCCATCTCTTCTCCCTCATGCAGCTATATAAGGGTACATGGGAAGATGGCAGCATATTCCATGTGTACTGTGCGTATTTAGAGAAGGCGTATGACCATATGCCCCAGTACACATTGCGGTATATGGGTACTACTGCTATTAAGCAGAGCCATGACAATGCGGGTATGGGTTGGGTACGGCTCATATAATTTACAATGGAAAATTTTTATCATTGTCACTGCTCCTTAGATTATTTTCTTTGTAGAAGTAGCTCTCACTGTAAATAAGGTTGGAGACCCCTGACCTAGAGTCTGAGCTACTCAACATACTACTGCTGCAACCCTCACCAAGAAAAGTGATGTCAAGATGAAGATAAATTCAAAGCATTGACAAATGATGCCAGCCCATCATAGGGCAGACGGTTAAATTCAAGATAAGTAACTAATGGCAATTTAGCAAAACCACACATATGTAAGAGGACAGCAGCACAGAGCCAGGACCAGGGAAACATGCAAACGGAACAACCGAAGATCCAGGGTCAGAAAACAAACCCACAGCCTTGGAGGACTAAGACTACAGTCACTACGCGTAGCCAACTTAGAAAGGATAAACTCTGATCAGTGTTGCTCAGTAAAATAAGGAAATATACCATGATATAAACTCACTCAAACTAGTGCTTAGCAATGGGTGCTTGACAAACACCACATCTTAAACTAGTAGGGCAATAGAGGCCTGTATTGTTGGTTAAGTCCAGGTCTGGTGCACATATTTTAGAGTGAACCCAACTGGGGACTGCACAGTGAACCCAACTGGGGACTGCACAGTGAACCCAACTGGGGACTGCACAGTGAACCCAACTGGGGACTGCACAGTGAATCCAAACTTTATTATGAACACCAAGGCAACATCTTGCCTCACCTTGATGCCCCCTTTTGTCTTGCGGAGGTTTCTTCTTTTTGAGGCGTCGGCATCAGCAGGTAATTTTGAAAACCCCGGGATCTCTGACGTCCTGTGGCTTGAGGCTGAAGTAGAACAGAAAGGGTTAGAGCAGCGGTCGGCAGGCGGCTCATCGCGACCGGCATGTCGTCTATCTTTAAGGCATTCCCAGTCAATTGCAACAAGGTATGAATATTTATCATCAAGGGAGGCCCCCCTCCACCCACTCCCGGAGTCAAAATATACTGCTGTTACTCAGTAGCTCACCAGAATTTTATTTCTTTGTAAAAGTAAAATTTAAAATGAAAAGCTAATCTAACCCCAGCTCACTATGTGATTCTCTTATAATTGTGGTTATTTATTCTCGTAATTCAAAGATGTGCAGTCCAGATAAGTAAATGATGATAAATTTGTCATGTGCGATTACAGACTGGCATCCCCCACAAAATGCGCCCACCTCCTACACACCCTGCAAAAGGGTCTTGGTCGCATTAATTGTGAGTGAATAAACGCTTATTAAGAACAGCCAGAAAGACATATGCACAAGAAGGTCTAACTAGTAACATCTTTGATCCCCAGTGTAAGAGGGACAGACTAAGTCAGGTGTTAGATTTGGAGGGAACTTTAGAAGTGCCTGGGGGGTGCTTTGGGGAGGATTCCGGGTGGGGGGCCACTGGCTGAACTGGCCTAGCTTGCTTGGCTGACAACTTCTTCAGGCTGGCCTGCCTCTTTTCAAACATCTCCTGGACTTCATCCAACCTTTCCAAAGCCTTCTGCAACTTTTCCTGCCAAGAAGGGGGGGGGGGGCAGCCAGAGAGAAGAGCCACAGGCTGATTACCTGAAAAACTGCTTTGTTTTCATTGAGTGACACTGTCATAGTTTGTGCCACCCCATCCTTGTCATGGAGCATAGCACCTACCCCCAACTCTACCCAGTCCTACCTACCTCAAGATCCACGGGAAGGCAGATATCACACTGGGCATGCAGGTCCCGCAAACTGGTCAGCTCCTCCTTCCTCACAGTCTCGATGAAGGACTCGACGTCTCTCAGGGCAGCTTCGGCGCCCTCCTGAGATTGGCACCTATCCACAGCTTGGCTGGCCAGCAGGTACATGCCAGACTCGCACCACTTGTTCACCTGTGACAACATCTCGCCCCTTGAGTTGCACAGCATGGCTCCAGCTTACATTACTGCTGTTTTGCTTGCTAGATGACAGAAATAAATAAACCAACAAAATGACAACACGTAGGCTGAGTCGAGTGCAGTCTACCGTTACGTTTTCAGGAGGAGCCTAATTATGCTTTAAAAGAAGTATACAGAATATA